CGAGTTCGAGGAGTCAGCTGACGAAGATGCAGCTCAGTGTGGGAAGCGTGGCAGAAAGCGTGTCAAAGCCTCGAAGTCAGGCCACAAGAGCAACAAAGAATCTAAGAAAGCAAAGAGGAGGAAGCAGAAGCAAAGCGATTCAGCCTCAAGCCGTGAAGATGCAAGCGAAGATGGAGATGATAGATGTGACAGCGATGAAGAACCTAGAGATAAGAAGGGCAAGGCAGCAGGTAAAGCCAAGGCCAGGGACAAGAAGCCACGAAAGAAAGGTGGAAGGCGAACAGGCAAGAATCCAAAGGGGAAGAGCCAGTTTCTGAAGTGCACACAGTGCAAGAAGACAAAGGATAGGAGCCTGGACTTCCACGCTGACCAAAACAGATGCAAAGCCTGCATGGCCGACGTTCGAGCTTTCAGCAGAGCGACTGAGTCCCAGGGCTGCCAGGACAAGATTCAGGAGCTTTCGAGGTCCGACCCAGCAACCCATGCCAAGGTCGGAGTGCGATCGATAGGACTTTGGATGACTTTGGGGAGTGTACATCTTCGTTATCGTCTTTTTGTTTTATCGGTTGTTGCTATAATCCCCAGGTGGTGAAAGAATGGATAAGGGAAAGGAAAAAAATGCAGGAAGCTGGCGAGAAAATCAAGTTCAACATATGGGGATTCGCAATCAAGATTCAGCACGCGCAAGGACAGCGCGTCGAAAATCGCAACCGTATGATGTGGAAGGGGTACTTCCTCACGTGGGCGCAGACGGATGAAGGAGGATGCCTGTCTGAACAGCAAGCCAAAAACAAGTGGGCTGAGTATGAACAAGATGAGAGCCTGCCCAAGGACAACAAGGGACCAGGTGGACACCAGCGAATTAAAGTGCCGATGTTCACTGACATCGTGGACTTCACAGAATTGCAAAAACAGCGGGAGCTGAAGAAGACCGAGAAACTGAACAGTAAGGCCATGCAAGACAACAAGAGCAGTACCGCCGGTGTGCGACTCAAGATGCTGGTGGGTGGAGCCGGGGCTGAGTCGGACTTGGACTGCATGGGTGCAGCTCAGCAGGCTTGGAAATCTGTGCACGAGAAGTTGACTTCGAATCAGCTAGATGGAGAGCGTGCCTTGGAGCCCGATGCCGCAGACTTGGCTCTCGACCTGCAGCATCAGAAGGCACGGCGAGCCAGCGGTGCCAGCAGCGGCCGTCGACCAGATCCCAGTGAAAGTTCTTACGGCAGCGAGGAGTCCAGCTCTGACGATGGGGAAGGTGGAGCTGGAGCAGAGGCAGCGTGTTGACATGCATGTGGAAGCCGTTTGTGTGAAACGTGTTAATGATGGCTAGAAGATCTGCTGTGACAAGCTGACCGTTTTCGTTGCTGCCTTTCCCACTCTGGTCCAAGTGCAACCACCGTTGAACCGTTTTTGTAACAGTACTGGTACAAAAGGCAAACCCCCTCTCCCGGCCCGGGAGAGGGGGTTTGCTTTGGCAGAGTTTGCAGCCACCGTTGAACCGTTTGTAATGGTAATGGCACAAAAAGGCAAACCCCCTCTCCCCACCCGGGAGTGGGGGTTTGCCGCGGCAGAGTTTGCAGCCACCGTTGAACTGTTTGTAATGGTAGTGGTACAAAAGGCAAACCCCCTCTCCTGGCCCGGGAGTGGGGGTTTGCCGTGGCAGAGTTTGCAGCCACCGTTGAACTGTTTGTAATGGTAGTGGTACAAAAGGCAAACCCCCTCTCCTGGCCCGGGAGTGGGGGTTTGCCGTGGCAGAGTTTGCAGCCACCGTTGAA